GAGGCATGTTCCTCTGAGCTTTGCACAGAGCAAAGGGTATTCATACAGCCATTGGATGTTGGCGTTTTCCAGATTATTTATTTAGTCTCTTACCTGCCCAAACCTTCTGAATTTGGCAGACAGTGGTAACAGGAAGAATGGAGAGGTATAACGTGTCCCCTGGCCACTTGTGTGCTGTGTGGTATTGGCAAGATCAGCACCTTTCTATCCCTCATTCCTGTAGTGGTTGTATAACTGCTCTGCCCACCACAGGGTGGATTGAAGATTAATGAGGTAACACCTGCGAGCGTCATGTGTTTCTTAGCAGAACAGGCCAATGGCAATACAAAATGTCACTCAACACGTTATTAAAAACAAGATTTATTTTTCCCTCTCTCTGCCCTATAGTCAGACAATTTTTCAAAAGTCTTAATTAATAAACTGTCCTTTCCCTTATTCCTGAGAAGCAAGTAGCATTTTAAAGCATTCAGAAGTAAGGAACAGTAAAGGTACCATCACACCCATAAACAGTCAGCACTATTCTTTTCTTATTTCTTTCACTGGGTGGGGCAGGATTTGAACATAAATGACACAGACACAACATTACAGAGAAGCGAGGATGATGATTTCCCATTAATGGTCTTCAGAGAGACTCACCAATGAGGGAGAAATCAAGGATGGATTAAGACAGGGATGAGTCTGAATTATAGGCTAACGCAATATCATCTTCAAGGATATTGGCAGCAGAGGGGTGTAGGGAGGAAGAGCACAGCTTGGGCATCTGTGAATTCTGGCTCTGTGACTTTGATCTGGCTACTTAACCTCTCTGAGCCTCAGTTTCCCCATCTATAAAGTGAGAATAATAATGCTTACTCAACAGGAGATTTCTATGAGATGGATTTATGTAAGGTGCTGTGAACACAGTATTAGAAGTCTAATAAATGATGGCCTCTGTTACTACTATAACTATTATTTAATGTATTATTGTAACTATTATTTAATATTAATTAACCTGAACATAGCAACTGAAACTACTCACTGCATGGAAGTCTTTGTATTTGATCTACAGTTTCATTCACATGACAACAGTTATACAAGGGACGATTCTAAGATACATGGAAAGGCTTAGAGTGTACAAAAAATACTTTTCACCTTTTTAAAAAACAATTTTTACTATTTGAATATGCTCTAAAGGGATTTGTTCAGGAAAGGGATTTGTCAGTATCCTTTCTGACAAGAATTGTTAAAGGCTCTGAATATTGAGGGCTCAGTCTCACTTTCAGGGCCTTTATGAAAAGACATATATGGTGAGATACTCAGACTGTCTCTTTATCGGCCACTAGGCTTTGCTTCTCAAGACAGATCTGACCTTAGTCAGCCAGCCCTTTGCCGGATGAGGAGAGGAAACCAGGGATTTCTGCAGGAAAATCACCTGTACCTTGCTCCCTAAATTTCTTTCATAGGCACTGTAGGTCTCCCAGTCCCTTTCCTGCCCCACACTGTAAGGCTTGGGAGTTTAAAACAATTGATAATAGTTTCTTTAAATGTAATCAGAATTGCATACTTTTATGGGAATTAGGGTCCTGCTAATGTCTGCAGGAGGAGTGGTGTGCACAGAGGTATCCACCCCAAATCTGAGTGCTGTGACCTTATGCAATGTTATATCTGCTGGTGTTCTTGGTGGTTGTCCATGAAACAGGCTATTCTGGGGTTCACCAGATACAAGCCAGATTATTTGGGGCTTCCCATCATCTGGCTGAGGAGGTAGGAAAGAAAGCAGAGGCCCCTCCTTTTAAGGCAAGCTTGGGGTAGTATGTCGGGATAGGACCTCATTTTTCCTAAGGCTCAGCCAGAACATTTCGCTATTTTTAGAGGACTGGCCAGTTCTGAATGTTGATTCATAGGCATGAGTCCCACTTTAACTTCCCTGGGGCAGCAAAGAGCAAGGCCAGCTCCAAGAGCCCATCTTCTCCTGCAGGGTCCTGCCGCCTTACTCAGATGAGGGGAGTATCGGTGTCATTTACCATCACTGGTGTCCTTGCCCTGCCACTCATTGGAGCTGGAGAGCGGGAGAGCTGAAGAGCTGGGGTTGGGACTTCAGGCGAGGAGAGGGCAGGGAGATGGAGCCAGCACTGTACTAAACGGTTTACTTATTTACACTTCCAACAATTCTGTGAAGTGCATTTTATTACACAGGATGAAACTGTCTCCAGCAGGTTAAGTAATTTGGAGACATAGAGTGGTTAAGAAATTCACCCAAAGCACACAGCTAGGATCTGGCTGACCTATGACATGAAGCATCTCTGTAACCCAATTCACTCTAATACACTCTATTTCCCAAACTTGCCTAATCCCTAGTGCCACAGAGGCACTTATTAAAACTTCCCTTCTCCACATCCCTCTCCAGAGCCGTGGAACTGAAATCTCCATGGGATTGGCCGGGCATCCATATTTTTAACAAGTACTCCCAGGTGATTTCTATGCTCAGCAAATTTGGAGGGGTGGTAGAAACCAAGCTCCAGGAGAGTTGCTCTCAAATTTGAGTCAACATCAGAATCAGAAGGGAGCTTATTAAAATGCAGATTCTTCCGACTTGCTCTCAAAGATGCTAAAATAAGCCACCTGGGCCAAGGACCGGGAATCTGCATTTTTGCAGCCATTCCCAATGTATTCTGTTGCCAGTGAGCAGAGGACTTTGAAAAACATTGATCTAATAATAAATAAGAGAGATAAGGGTAATGAAATGAATACTGGAAAAAACTAATTTTACAACAGTCTAAGGGAAGTAAATGATTTAGTTTGGATCCAAGGAAGAATTTCAGTGAACACAGTCACAAATGGTTAGGAAGAGAGTGATCCCTCTCCACACATGAACAGTCTACATATTAGTAACAGAAAGGGGAGTGGGCTCTCGTCTACACCTGCCCACTAATGTCTCATCTTTGCAAAGCTGCCTGTGCTCAGCTTCTGTCTGGAAGGCTTTTCCCTTTGTCCATCTTCACTAGTTAAAATCACTTTCTTTAAGGCTCAGTTCCAAAGACACTTTCTCCACAAAGTTTTCTCCCAGTTGCAGCCCTTCCTCATCTTAGTTCCTATTGTTTGTTCCTGTACGTGGGCACATCCACATCTTACCTGGCTGTTTGATCTCCTGTGTGCCTGTAATGCATGCATCTCCTCTCACGAGGGCTGGGATCCTGACAGCTTCATTTTTGACTTCCCACACCACCTATTGCTTTAGTGAAGACCTTTCGCATAGTAAGGGTGCAGCAGATTAAGCTGCCCCCCCATCACACTTACAGCACCTACTGTGTGCAAGCACTATTCTCAGTGTTGTAACAAGTAACTTATATTAGAAATATTCTTCATATGCGAGGAAGGACACAAGGCACTGAGAGGTTGTTGTTTGGGGAAGGGTCTCCTTTAGAAGCTATAGCCTTGTGGATGACCAGAGTCACACCTGTAAGGAGATCTCAGCTCTGTGGGTTCAGGAAAGAGCACTTTAAAAATCTTAACTTTCTAATTCAGTGTATCAGAGTCACCCGGGAGACTTGCTAAAACACAGATTGCCAGGCCCCGCCCCCAGAGTTTCTGATTCAGTCTGTCTGGAGTGGGACCTGAGGATGTGCATTTCTAACAAGTTCCCAGGTGGTTCTCATGATGCTTATCTGGGGGACTACACTTCAAGAACCACTGCCCTAGTTCAATGTTACTGCCACTTAACAGTTCAAGGGCAAGGAACTGGCCTTCACACTCTGAGCTTCCTAATAATGGAGGTGTGAGGAATTGGAGTAAAGCCATACAGAAGCCAGGAAGCTGGCTCTTTGAGGATGTGGCCCTAGGAGCTTTCACCAAGGAGGGTGCAGACAGATGGTCTATACGCCAAAGAGGGGGAACGTTGTGTGTGAAGCATCTAAGAGTTTTCAGCTTGAGGGGTTGTATACTATTGGGAATCATCCCTTTGGCTTCCAATTACCAATAAATCTTTAGCGGGGTTTGGTGAAAAGTGGATATAAATTTAGGTGAATGTTTTTCTTGAGGAGTTAGCCTCACAAAGGGTCCACTGACTCACACAACCTCATGTTATATTGGCAGAGGGACCATACTGATAACAATGTAAGATAACATAACACAGAATAATGATAAAGCTCTTTAGCTCCAACATCTCTCTCTCTTTTTAAGTGAACCTATTAAATTGAGTGAGAATTAAGAACTACTTAAGGTCCAGAGAACAGGTCAGACAATCTGGTTCTTGTCTTAGTTTTCCAAAGAAATACATTGCCAGGGAACATAGTTTCTTGTTTTCTTTTTAAAAAAGATGTAATACTTTGCCTTGTCTTAGTGGGGACCTCTGTGGGGTTACCTGAAGAAACCACTACCACTCAACGACTGCATATTTGAGATAAATTACATATTAGAAATAAATTCCTTTGAGTTGCTTTGAAGAACATTTCAACATGCATTCAAAATATTTTACCAAGGCACTGGGAGGGTAAATCCCAAGTTCAAGGTCATATGCTGTGAAATTCTCATCCATCACTCCTCAAACCCTAGCTCTTCTTCAAGTAACGAACTAGCTCCTACCTAGGTGACTCTGCAAGATTTCTGTCCTGGAGCTGCCTTTTACTGTCCCTCTGTCTTCCACACCCACCCTTCCCCTCCGCCTCTGCTTCAAGCCCCAGCACGCAGTAACAAGTGCATTTTGTCGGTACTAGCCCACAAGTCACCCCCACACACTGGTAAAGTGGGCAGGGTGATTTCGCCCATTCATTCCCCCTCACCTAGCTCTGCCTGGTGGCTCTGGAGTCTAGCGGTCCCCCCCACCTGTGTGAGACGCAGACGCAGGACGGGGCTCTTCATCTGCTCCTACAGACACCACAGTGCTGGCTTCAGATGACAGAAGCAGATTACTTGCAGGGCTTCCCAAAAAATGCACAAAGAAAGGAAGACAGATGGGCCAGGCAGGAAACGGCCAGAGGACAGTTAGAGGAGAAAGCAGCAGGGGAGAGCAGCTCAGTACTTACCTGGGGGAAAGTCGCTGGCAGGTCCCTCCTCCTCCGTGTGCCTTCTTCCGTGGGAGGCGTCAGTCCCACTGAGGTGTTTAGAGCATGGGGTGTTAGTATTATTATTTTTTCCCAGAGCTGGCAGTGTTGGCTTGCGTTTCCATGCCTTCCTGTCAGAATTCTCTCAAGGAAACAGCAGCTGGTGAGCTCAGAAATGTCAGTCAGAATCTTGGCCTAGTTTGGGGCCTTGAAGATTTTTACAGAAAGTTAAAAAGGTTTCTGGGCCAGTGTCTCCTTAGGGTTTTCCCTCTCCTGCTTCTCACCCTTTCCATCTTCTTCTCTTCTCTCTCTCTCTCTCTCTCTCTCTCTCTCTCTCTCTCTCTCTCTCTCTCTCTCTTCTTTTCATTTTTACCTCAGTAGCTAGTTACTTAAATTGCCTGCCTCGTCTTTCTGACGATTCTCTAAGCATTTAACTAGTCCTCTGCACTCATTGCTTATTTTGTCTCTTTGCTTATTTCCTCCCTTTCCTGTCATTCTTACCTTTCTAATCGCTGTCCTTCTGGTCACACGGAGAAGTCACCTGTCTTTCCTTTACATGCACCCCCTGTCCCGATAGTCCATCACTTCTCCGTCTGTGCCCCGTCCACTTATTTGTTTCTTATGCTTTTCCTTCTGGCATCTGCTCTCGCTTTACCGCTCACCGTGCCCCGTCTAGATGTGACCTAGCTTCAGATCTGCTCTCCTCCCCTCTTTCCTCCTCCATTCCCCGGGCAGTCGCTGCTCCCCGAAGGCGAGCCCCCTCCTTTTTGTACTCTGCAGCCCTGTGCCCACCCCCAGCACACTGTCCCACCTGTTTGTGTCTTTTAAGGGCCTTGGTCATGTCCATGCCTTCTGTCCACCTCAATCACCACAGTGACGGGCCTCTGCAAGCTGTTAAATTACACCTCTTCAGCTGTCTCGTTGCAAGGAGAAATGTCCTTTGCTAAATCCTTTCTCAGATAGGCAAATCTGCATTAATGCTTCTGTTTATGGAATATACTGAAATAATTCATGCATTATTTTAAAGAGTAAAAACATTAATTTTTTCAAGGACACTGGGTTTCTTTTAGGTTATGTCAATATATGTCACCTAAGATACAACCCTTTTAGCTCATCTCTAACATATTTTGGTCATTTTTCAAATAGGAGGGTGGTTGTGGTAGAGTTACGGAAAACATGGCTTGTTGGCTAGATAGATGCTCAATAATATATATTAAGTGAGAGCCTGCCAAATCGTCAGTGTACCATATCAAGCACTGGAAACACAAAGAAATGACTATGTTCCCTGCCTGGGAGACTTAAACAGGTTCTTTTGGGAACAGGACCTGTATCTGGAAAAAATATACAAATAAATTGCAAATTGATAGTTCAGAAATTAAGCACGTCTGGTATTCAGAGGCAGATTGATAAGTGGTGGACCAGGTAGCAAAAGCTTCATGGAGGACGTTGGGTTTCAGCTGGGTCCCAAAGATAGGGAGGGCTCGCCTACCTGCAGAGGTGAGGGAAGGGGCTCTCCCAGTTGGCAGAATGGCTTGAGCAAAGGCACAGAAGCAGGAATGTGCAGAGTGTGTTCAGGAAGCACTAATTAACCTGTGGCTGGACTCAATGCTTTGTGAAGGGGTCACCTGGGGAAGGCTTTGGATACAAAGCAACCATTTCAAGAAAATATACTCATAGCAGGAGATCTCAGTTTTTGAAAAGAGTTCCTTTAGACTACACATTTACAAGTAAAAATGTAGTGTTACAACTTCTAAATCTCAAATAAATATGAATTTGGATTCTTTCATAATTATCACTGAAAAATCATGGTCTGAAATCTGTTTCTTTTGAGTATAGAGAAATCCCTCTCCAATCATCAATATTATAATTGTTTTTCTTATTTAGCTGTGGCATTCGTTATTGATGGTCTGCTATTATAAAGGTAGAAACCTGCTAGTTGCAGTCATTCAGTCTGTCTTCAGTTCTGGCTCCTTCATACAGCCTGCCCCAAATTCAGGTCAGCACCAGACTACCCCTCTACTGAAGGCTCAGATCCCAACTTGTGTGGGTTAAGCATTCGTTATAGGTCTATATACACTTTAACATGACATTATACTGTTTTAAAATTTATTTTACAATTTCTTTGAATTCACAAGACTGTAAATTCCTAGAGGCCAAGTTTATCCAGAACAATATAAGTTACACTGTGGGCTCCTAATAAATGTTTGTTAAATCAAACCGGAAGGAAATTTGCTAAAACTGGACAACAAAATTTAAACCTACCAGCTATCCTACCGTTAGGAAGATAAGCATCTTTATAATGTTGTATCAATCTTACAGTTCTTCAGAGATTTATCTAGAGTCAAAAGAAGGAGGTGACCTTAATTTAAGGACTTATCTAGGGTTATACTTGGCATCTTCAAACCACATATTCTTGTGAGCCTCAAAGACTATTTAGGGTCCACAAGCCAAAGAGGTATTGATGTTCGAACTTGGAAGATGAGCCATCAGAGGTATAGAGGGAACTTGCTGAGGGCTACATGGCTAGTTATCAAAGAAGCTGGGATGAAATCCAAATCCCCTAATCAATTCCGCTTTTTTTTTTTTTTAACCTTGACACACTAT